CCTGCTGAAGCCGCGCCAGTTCGATCTTTATACGCTGAAGCTCGTTCTGCAAATTCCGATTAGTTGTCTCGAGATCCTGGCGTTGTTGCAACCGTTTGCTCCTGCAGTTTTGAGCATAACCGCGATTCTTCAGCGTCCGCCGCTTCTGCTTCAGTCGCACGACCTTCGCATATTATTGTAAATTTATCCAATTAAATATATGTTACAATTTATGACGGAAACAACATTCTCATGTTTTACAACAAAAATTAAAACCGATATAATTTTTAATTTGAGCTAAAGTTATATTGTAGACAGATAGTAATGATCTTTGTTGACAGATAGTAATGATGTTTATATTTGCGGACCCTATTAAGAAATAAAATATGACAAAACTATAAATACAACACAATTGATAAGATTTTTTTATTAACAACCTACTTTACTTTTTTACACTGTTTCTCTGCGAATTAATTTATGATTAAATTATTAAATAATTTATCTACGGCTTACAGTTTTGTGCCTAATATTTCTTTTTACTTTAATATTGGAGAGAGGATTTTAATAACACGTGTGTAATTTTACATGTGTATGTGTTTGTTCTTTAATCTAAATTTAACATACATATAACGCATAAAAGATATACAGAGTGTCATAAAAAGAATAAGTTAACATTTTAAACTTTAAGAATTTTTAAACGCAGTTCAAAATTATTTAAAATTAATGTAGTATATTTTATCGGACAATCTCATTTTGTCTTGAAATTCCATTATATAATATTTAGCTTCTAACAACATGGATGACTCACTCTTGTTCTACGTATTATTACTATTACATTTTTGATATAATATATTTCATATACTTTGTAATTGCGCTGAAGATGGTCCAAAAAAATGACCGAAACGTACGCTTTTTATGATTGTGTCTATCACTTAGTTAAAATATTAATGTAATTTGATTATAATAAAACATATGCGCACAAATTACCGCGCTGACTCTTGATTGCCTTTTATTTTCTTCGTATTGTTAGACATTTTTATCAGATTAAGATCTGATTATTGTGCAATATTACACCGATTTTAATTTTTTATTTGAAGATATATTCATTTTTTCATATACTTGGCGTCGCGACGCTGCTACGTTGCTTGATAATATAATCGTACATGTTATGACATATCTTCACAATTATGTGCAGACCACATAGACTTTTATATATTACACTAAAAACCATTAACACGGCTAAGTCTCATATGGTAAAATGTGATGCAAGGGCATCCATTTTCTCGATAGGTAGAAGGTCATGCCGGGTGTCCCAGAATTTGATACATCGTCTCTTGATAACGTAATAATAAACGGACATTTAAAAAAGAAACTAAGATAGTGAAAAATATCAAGAGTAAATATAGTGTATAAAAATAAGAAATATGCCAATGACGCGCGCGTGGCTGTTATACTTGGCTGCCTAAGTAAATATT